ACTAGGTTTGTATTAGCTATAAATGAGAGGCACCCTCATGGGTCTAAGGTATGCTTTTTATGCTCTGAATAGTGAGTTAAGCACTTTTGCTATCTTTGAGAGATAACTGACTTAATCGTCGAAGTGCCCCCGGGTGGACGAACCACCGCCAGAATCTCTTCTTTTTGTGACAGGTCGTTCAGGCTTAATTTATTCTGCTAGTGTTCTCTAGCTGAGTGCTTGATTGGCAGTGTGGTCGGAAATTGACACACATAATTATCATTACCCTTATAAAGAAAATTCACCATAAGGACTGACACCCACTTTTCAAAGACAAATAAAATTTAAGTTTTTTTTTTTAAATAAAATTTTAATTAGATTGAGTCTTTTACTAATTGATAATACTTATGGGCGGATATTTTATTTTTGTGTTCCTTTTAGGGACTAAACAAGTCTAAATTAAATACTTTAGGGATTTAATGGATTCAATCAATAGTTTAGGGACTAAATATATTTTGATTTATATACTTTAGGGACTTAATAAACTCAATTGATGGGAAGTTGTCTTACTTTGAAATGCCCCCAGGAATGTCAAATAATGAAGCTTGCCTAGAGGTTGCAGATGCACCAAGCTCATCTGAGATGCATGAATCAGATTCATTTGATACTGAAAACCCTCCAAGCAGTGAAGATGAAGAAAGCAAACCCAATTTAGAGCATGCATTGAATTATTTGAATTCATTTGACATGGTTAATGGATTACGTTCTGGGAAGGTCACTGCGAAGAAAAAGTGTGAAAATGCATCTCATAAACAGCATAGGAAAAATACCGGTCATGGAGGGTCGGGGGTGAGGATGCTGATAGAATGCCAGTAATAAGAGTATTTCAGAAGCCAGCGAATACGGGTCCACTCAAAGTTGGATAGGTCCTTTGTAGCTCATTGTGGGTGCCACTTTTTACTTGCTGATCACCAGTATGGTTGCCTCTTACCTATAGTTTTTAAGTTTATGTTTCTTAGTGAATGCAATCATTTTATTTGTTTTCTTCTTGTTGCCAAATTATTGAATGATGTGAACTTGATAATGATTAGGAGTTTTGTATTGTAATATTATCATATTGTTGTCTGACTACAGAGAATCTAAAATCTCTATACATATCGCAGAGGTAATTCATATGCCTTCCATATCATAAATCATTGAAATGGACCTTATCTGAATATTAGTAGAGAATCTGAAATTAGTTTGCCTTGTGTAAATTATTGTCATTGTTGTAAGTGAATGATTTGTAACTTGGACAACATTTTTTTTCACTAGAGTGTAGAAAGCATTGGATCTACTACTACTGATTGTTTTAGTATAGTTGGAAATCGAAGGTTTTTATTTTATTTTATTTCTTACCGGATGATGGTAAAAGCTTTATGTTTTGGCCAGTACTTGCGCTTGCATATCTATTAACTCACACATACACACACACACACACACACACTGCTACCAGATCAATAAAAAAGCTAATGGACACACACACACACTGCTACCAGATCAATAAAAAAGCTAATGGACTTTGTTTTAAACTTATCATTGATTAATACAGACTACTACCATATCCTCCTTTTTGCTGGTGGTTGATGGTTGTTGCTTGTTGGTCTGCTGCAACTGCTGGTTTGCTGCTGCTGCCACCCTCGTGGCTGATGCTTGCTAGGCTACTGCTACTGTAATGTTGCTGTGAGGTGGCTGCTACTAGATGTTGGTCTGCTGGATAAGTTTGTGGGTGATTTTCATGCCGTTTTGTCTGCCTTTGTTAGTTTCATGTTTTCATTTTGTTATCTGTTGTTTCTAATGTGGGTTCACAATTTGGATGTATTTGGGTATTTTAGTGACTTTACCCTTTTAGGTTTTATACATTGCTTCTAAAAGCAGTATCAGTAGTGTTTTTTTTGCTTGCACATCAACTTTAGGTGATTTCATATCAATGTTATTAGTTTGTAATAATGGTGCCTGAGGCATGCCTTTTATAAATCTGTAAATCTTATAAAAATATATAAATTATTTTCAATTATTTTTGTTAGTAAATGTGTTGCCAAAAGTTTATTTTTGCCCACTCATATTGTGTTGCTAGAAGTGTATTTTTTGCCAATGCCAATTTGTCGTTGCCAAAAGCAAGCCTTTATCGACAAACAAATCGTCGGCGAATGGTAATATTTACCGACATAAATGTGTTGCCAAAAGTTTACTTTTGCCCACTCACATTGTATTGCTAAAAGTGTATTTTTTGCCAATGCTAATTTGTTGTTGCCAAAAGTGAAGTTTTATCGACAAACAAATCGTAGGCAAATGACAACATTTACCGACATAAATGTGTCACCAAAAGTTTACTTTTGTCGACGTATATTTTGTTGCTAAAAGTATATTTTTTGCCCATGCAAATTTGTGTCGCGAAAAGTGCCACACAATCATCATATTTGAATGACTTTTACCGACGCAAGGTAAATTGCCGACGATGGATGAAGGCTTTTATCGACGACTATGTTCGTCGTTTTTGCCGACTCACTTTTGCCTATGGGTTGCCAACGTAGCTTTGTGTGTCGGCAAAACTCTTTGCCGACGAATTTTCCCTTTTAGCAACATATTTTGTTGCGGTGAGAAAAATGCAATTTCGTGTAGTAAGGCCTGTTTGGGGGGCGAAATTTTGAAATGACCACTGAAACCGCCGAAACTTAGCACAAGCAGCTTGCTTAAGCCTAAATAGACTTGTAGGAACAAACAAGACCTCGATTGGATTTCCGATTAGAAAATTAGAAGGAAAATTGTAAAACACAAGACTTAAAAGGCCCGTTTGGGGGGCAAAATTATGGAATGACTACCGAAACTGTCGAAACTTAGTACGGGCATCTTGCTCAAGACTAAATAAACTTGAATGAGCAAACGGCACCCCGATTAGACTTCCCGTTACAAAATTAAAATCAAAATTGTGAAATTCATACCGAGTTTTTTTTTTTTTTCCTTGTTAATCTAATATTGTTTTTTCTTTTTCATGTGATAGATTCGTAATGGTGAAAAATAGTTCGGGCTGCATCAGAAGATTTGATTTTGTATTTTTGGAAATGTTTTGACATAAGATTTTAGTAAATGATTTATGGGTTAGATGTTTAGCAACAAAATATTTGGTTTTGTGTTTTTGCAAATATTTTGATATAGGATTTTGGTAAATGACTTGCGGGTTAGATGTTTAGCATCAAAATATTTAGTTTTGTGTTTTTGAAAATATTTTGACATATGATTTGGTAATAGATTTGTGGGTTTGATGTTAATAGTTTGTATGTACTTTGGTATGAATATGTTTCAAATTGATAGAGAATTGTAATTATGTTTATTGAGATGTTTAATAGTTATTAATTTTGAATTATTATGAATGTCTTGCACAGGTGTATTACTATTTACATTGCATTTGTGTATATATTGTATATAGAAAAACAGGTGTTTTGGATTATTTTGAACAGAAAAATTATTAAAATGCAAATTTGTGCAATGAATTTTTAGTGACAGGTGATATTTTGGTTACTGTTAATATATTTGGCGACAACATATTGTTTTGTCGCTAAAAGTTAGTGGCTATTCCAAGAACTTTTAGCAACCAAAACTTAGTCATTGCTAAAAAGTTGATTTTTAGCGACCAAATTAATTTTGTCGCTAAATAGTACTTTTGGCGACGAATTTATTTGTCGCTATAACTACATAGCCTATCCAAATCTTAACATTTTAGCGACAAATTAGAATTCTACAGCGACAAAATATATGATTTTTAGCGACCAATTTTGCTTGTCACTAAATGTCTACCTACGGTGACAATTTATTATTTGGTCGCCAATACTTTTAGTGACAAGCCTTTGGCGACCAATTGGGTACTTGTCGCCGATTCTTTTCGCGACAAAATTTATACTTTTGGCAATCAATTTTTTGGTCGCCAAATGTGTTTTTTTGTTGTAGTGGGTGACGAGAATGATCTCATTTCTCTTTTACCAAAAGTCAAAATAGATTATCACGTATAGGTTAATAAATGTATTTATTGCTCAATAGGTCCGGTAAGAATCAATGATATTTTTCATCAAACACTATTAAAAAATATCATTAATTGTTAAATTTTAACTACAATTTGAAAATTATGACAAAAAATGTCACTAATTCTAAATTTTAGCCACAATTTAAAAAATTTATCATAAAAATATCACTAATTATAAATTTTAGCGAGAATTGTGTACACCCTTTTTAACAGTAATGTTATATCTAAATAGCTTATATATTTTTGAGTCATGATAGAGACCCCCTCTAATCACCATTCCCACAATCCCCACAAACACGTGGCGGGTGGTGATTGGAGGAGCAGGAAAAAAAGAAAAAAGAAAAAGAAAATGTAACCAATAAGAGAGAGAGGGGATCAAAGGAGTGGAGAGAAAAGGGGTTATGAAACATTTTTGTTCAATAAAGAAATTCATATTTAAATCTGTTGAGATTATAAAGAAAATAATAAGGTGAAAGATCTTGTTATCTATAGTTATTCGATTGCTATGATGCTATCTATAGATTCAAATACCACTTATCTATATCCGTGTTGACCATCTTTATTATCCTAAAATAAGATAAAACATTAATTAAAGTTGTTGTTTGGCAGCACAGTTGGGACTAATTTAACCTATTAAAAAATGAAATAAGTTTAAAGTTAATAAAATAAAATGTAATATATAAATTATAATCATTAGTTGTTTAAAATAATCTAAATAAATATATTTTTTAATTTTTTACGAAAAGAAATATAAAAAAATTTAAAAAATGATATGAGCCAAAAAAAATAATAATATAAAAAAATTTGTGTATAAAGCACACCCCAAACAATTCTCACAAAATTATAAAAAAGAAATCAAAAATTCATTGCAAATGAAATTTTTTTAACAAACCTAAAACAGCTATAAAAATAAATAATAAAAAAAAAACAAAAAAAAAAGATTCTCCCAAATGGTCAAATCCGCCCACAGGAGAGCAATCAATACAAAGAAATGCAAAGAAATGGTCAAATGCCTCTGCTTTTACCAGGTGCAATGCAAAGACATACCGGGAGAGCACACTGGAATTAGGATTACACTGCAAAAAGAGCAGAGCAACGACCAAAAAGAAATAAAACCATGGAAGAAACCGATGAGAAGAGTTTTCTCAGCTCCATATATCCCCTTCTTCTTCTTCTGCAGAAATCCACACTAAACCCTGGGTATCCCCAACTTATTAGCACAAAAACACCCCACTTTCCTCATCATCATGTTGATATGGAGGAGATATCTGATGACAAGACCCATGTCCACCTCGTCGTCCGCGACAACAATCGAAGGCCTTCGATGGTGGGAACGAGTGGGACCAGCCCCTAAAGACCCAATCTTGGCTGTCTCCGAGGCTTTTCTTGCTGATTCTAGTCCTCTCAAGATCAACCTTGGTGTGGTAATTGTTATAGCACTTCAATTTTCTTTCTTTGTTTGTTAATTCATTGTTAAATTTTGGGTTAATTATCATGTTCTTTACAAGTTAAATGCATTTATGCCTTTGTATGATTGTGGGTTTTAGGGAGCTTACAGAGATGATGAGGGGAAACCTGTGATTCTTCAGTGCGTTCGAGCTGCTGAGGCCAAGATTTCTGGTACCCAATTCTTGTGAGTGTTTTTCTTTTTTGTGGTTAATTTCGATTTTTCCCCCCGTTTTTATGACGAGTAATGTTAGGTATTATGAAAAAAAAAAATGATGAAAATGATCATGAAAGATTCTTCACTTTTAGATTACACATACAAAGAAAATGGATGAAAAATCTTCATAAAGTATTTATGATATTTTTTTAATGATGGCTAATATTATTCTTTTATGACTTCTCTCTGCTCTTGGATGTCAATAATAATAAGAAAAGAAAATTAATTAGGTGGTTGAGAAGGAAAAAATACTAGTCTCTTGCCTTTTTGTTCGCATAATTGAAGAGAAAAATGTGTTAAAGAAGGAAAGAAAAGAATGGCCAATTGTTTTTATGGTGATTAATTTAAGGGATATCTACCAGCCAGTCCCATTAAATGAAATTAATTACTCATAAGTCCTGTTGACATTTTAAATACACCATTAAGTCCTCAACTGTCCATATTACCCTCACTACACCTAATAACACCATTAAGTCCTTCTCTGTTGTCATCAATGGTGCTCGCATCAACCACCGTCCTTGTCCTCCTCCCTCGTTGCTATCATCGCTCACCCCACACTACTGCCATCCTCCCTCACTGATTGCCATCGACATCACCGCTGTTGCCACAATCCTCCATTACCAATCTATTGTCTTTGATGACGAACTTCATCGATGGCTTCAAATCTAAGTTTTTTCAATGCAGATCTACTCTCTTCAGCTCTAATCTGGTGTTGTACATGATTTCCAGTGAGATCAAGACATTTTAAAGACCACCGCCACCTCTACTGTCGTCATTGTTGGCGACCTCAACCGGCATCTTCTTCCACTTTCACCATTGCTTCCACCACTCTTTGCCGCCAGATCTTCTCTCTCTCTATGTGTATATTGGGGAAGATCCCAATGATAAATCTGTTTAAACCAGTGATAAATTTGTTTAAACTAGTGATAAATTTGTTTAAACTAGTGGTAAATTTGCAGTGTTGAGGCAAGGGGTAAAAATGGAAAACACTGTTTGATTTTTTTGGATAGGACCTGCTAGGTAATAAAACCGGTCCATAGGACCGGCCCGTAACTCCCCCTTAATTTAATTTCAATCAAATTGTGGTGGTTAGCTAGAATCTGCATTTGATATCTTTGTTCAAGTTGCACAAGACAAACCTACAAGATTATGTACCTCACATAATTGGTGTTGGAACATTTTCATAATATATTTATATATATTTAAATATATAACATAGGTATATGAATGATTAAAGAGATGTGACTTTTGGACTTAAACGAAAGAATGTAACCATTGAGTTTAAACAAAAAGGTGTGTCTTTTGGATTTAAACCATGGGGTGAACTATTGGATTTAAACCAAAGGACATGACTGTTGGATTTAAAGGGTGTCACTTTTGAATTTAAAAGACACGACTTTTTGTCTAAGGGACACAAACCCATGCCTATAAAGGCAAAATGGGTTGAAAATTGGATAGAAATCATCTATGTAAAATCCATGGAATTTCTCTCTAACATTCATATTGTTATTTTCCTCTATACTTGGTGGATTAGAAAAATTCAAAAGTGTTCGATATATGATTTTGTTCGTGCATAACGCAATCGGACATCAATCTTTAGACTGGGTTTCATTGTATCCTGAAGGCGAATTCACAGGTAATTCAGTGCACACCATATTTAACAGAATTGGTGGGGGCGAATATTTTCTTAAGGAAAGCGATGTTGTAACGCGCCTTGAAGTAATACTAATTATTTTTTGTTTTATCTTCTTCCATCATATACCAAATTTGCACCAACAATTAGTTGGTTGGTTAGCAAATGGAAGAATAAGGGCATCTCCAACGGTGTATTACTTTTTTCACCAAATTTGAGTAAAAACTCTCTTTGATATCGTCTACTCCAACGGAAAGATTTATCTTTTCATCAAACAACTGGTCGATCGGACGGACGACCAGATGGTCGACCGGTCGGTCGACTGACCAATGTAAAATTTTCACAATGGGACAAGGAACAACATTAGTGACCAAAATGATAAGGGGTCATCCGAGGGGTCGACCTTCCAATGTAAAATTTTCACAAAATTTTTCTTTGGGATGGTCAGCCGAGAGGACATCCAGGGGGACATCCGGTGGTAAAAATACAACGATAATGAACAGTGATTTGATGAAAGGCACAAAGCATCCTTAGTTTGATGAAATATTTTGTATATTCTCAATTTGATGTAGATTCGATGAAACCATTGGAGCAGCAACTTTTTCACCAAATTTGAATTTGGTGATGGATTTGGTGCAGTGTTGGAGATGGCCTAAGAGGAGCTTATTCTATACATTTGAGTTAATATGGATCGTTATAACCTTCGGGAGTGAACCCTTTGTGATTCTATATTCGTTGCTTTTTTTATGCTCATTATTACCATTTCTGTCTCCCAGTTTTTGGTCTTATCTGTGATCTTTAGATGTGCAAACTTTTTCACCAGTAGTGTTCTTTCTTTCTCTGCCCAAGTAGTCTGAATTTTGGCAATTCACTACCAGGGAGTCACTTTCAAGTGCAGCGAGTACCAAATTAGTTGAGGATAGTGTACAATTGGTATATGGAAAGGATTCAGATATTGTCAAAGAAAGGAGGTTTACCGGGCTCCAGGCTCTTTCAGGCACTGGTGCATGTCGGCTCTTTGCTGAGTTCCAGCGGCATTTTTATCCTGAATCACATATCTATTTACCTGTTCCTACTTGGTCCAAGTAAAGTGTATTCTGCATCCTTTCAGTTTCTTCTTATAGCTGGTTTTTTATTTTTTTATCAGCTTTACTGAAATTTCAACTCTGTTAATTGCTTAGCCACCACAACATTTGGAGGGCTGCCCAAGTTCCAGTAAGAACCTTCCACTACTACCATCCTGATTCCAAGGGCTTACATTTTGCAGCACTCATGGATGATATAAAGGTTTGACTGAAACGGAGAAAAGCATATTTATCTTCCATGAATGATTCACAAGCATCTTTATGGCCTCCTTATAAAAAATGAGTTTTTTTTTATTTTTAAAAACAAGTTGTATTTGTCTAGCCTACATGAGTTTATGCATTAGAGCATGTCTGTGATACTTCATGCTAATGTAGTTACAAAACTGATTATCCAACTCTAGCTCAATTTTTCTTTTTCCTTTTTTTTCTTTTCAATTTTTATTTATTTATTTATTTTTTTTTAAAGAATGCCCCAGAACATTCGTTCTTCTTACTCCATCCTTGTGCTCACAACCCAACTGGTGTTGACCCTACTGAGGAACAGTGGAGAGAAATTTCGCATCAATTCAAGGTGAATATGGAAAAGTTCAGTTATCTATCACATGTCTTGGATCTCTATAATTCTAATTCTTACTTTGATCCTATCAGGTGAAGAACCATTTCCCTTTCTTTGATACGGCTTATCAAGGTCTTGCTAGTGGGGATCTTGACAGGGACGCCAAGGCTATCCGGATATTTCATGAAGATGGACATTTGATAGGTTGTGCTCAGTCATTCGCAAAAATCATGGGACTCCATGGGCACCGAGTGGGTTGTCTTAGGTAAGCCAATATTCCAAAGAACTGTCATTTTTGCCCCTTGAGGGGGACCAGTTAGAAATGCAAGAAAGCTCAGAACTGTACCCTGCACCTGAGGGAAAGATTTCTATTTAAACTGAGTAGTTGTATTAGCTACTTCATACTAATTAATGTATACTTTTTTAAGTTGTCAAAAGACTAAAATCCATTCATCAGTATAGTTGTAATGATAAGTGGTATAGCTAACATATTGGAACATAAACCAGAAAGAGGCAAGTTAACTGTGTCCTGTAAGAAGTGCTGCCAGGCATAATTGACTCTTATCCTTGCTGATGGTCAGAAAGCATGATTAAAACTTCAGTGTGATTTTCTTACTGCACATCTGAGGTTGCGTTTTTATTCATGGATTCAAAACGAATCGATTTGAATTTAATTATCAAAGAAATATGCCTTCAATTTATATTGGGTAATTTACTTTTTAGAAAAACAAAATATGCAAGGATTTGAGTGTCTTATTGCTTGTGGATTTCAAATGATAAGGTGAAAAAGTAGTTATTTCAAATCCATTATTACAAGGATATCATCCTACTAAAATATCACCACTTCAAGGCTTCCCCTAGCCCCAAGGTCTTTAATCCAACTCCAACCAGTAACTCAGATGCATTTGCAAACTTAAACCCGAAATCTGTTGATTTCAAATTTATTCATCCAAATGCAGTCCTGAGTTCTTTAGCAATATTTGCACAAGATGCTCCCAACCATCTAAATCTATTGTATATTAACTCTTGTCAATCTTACCTCTATATAAATATTTTAGTATTCTTTCTGTGGATGAGAAGCAAGCAATTGCAATCAGAAGCCAGCTTCAGCAGATTGCCAGGGCAATGTATGGCAGCCCTCCTGTTCACGGCAGCTTGTTAGTCTCCACAATCCTCGGAGATCCAGAGTTAAAGGCACTTTGGGAAGAAGAAGTGAAGGTGAGATGTCATTTTTTTCCCACCCATTTAATCTTTCCTTCCTATTTTTTGTTACCTTAAATAAAAATGAAAAAACTGCTTGCGATGTGCTTTCTTGTTTTCAAGGTAATGGTTGATCGCATTATCAGAATGCGAGCTGCTTTGCGTCGTAGTCTCGAGAAATTGGGTTCTTGTCTCAACTGGGAGCACATAACTAACCAGGTTAGTAGTTTGATGATTGACGATTGGTTTGGGTAGTTTTGAATTTGGCCCATTGTTAATCCATCCATTGATCAACAATATTGCAGGTTGGAATGTTTTGCTTCTCTGGCTTATCCCCTGAACAGGTTGATCAGTTAGTGAGGGAATTCCATATATACATGACTTGTGACGGCCGCATAAGGTTTTTTCATTTGAAATTAGCTTTTGAATTGAATGTTTTCCATTTTCTTTTATTTTGAATATCTATGATAGTGGTTAATGCATTGTGGGCACAGCATGGCAGGAGTAACTACAAGCAATGTGGATTATTTGGCAAATGCAATACATGAAGTTAGTAGATACTGAGTTAAATGAATGAAGAGAAGATATGCTTCAATGCATCGAATTTGTCGGCAGTTAATGATTGAAAGCAGGGAAGAAGATGCCTTTAACCAGAAACACCCACACATTCAAGGTTGTTAGTTATGGATCCTTTTCATTCTTCCCTTTTTGATACGGATCTCCATCAGTCCATGTAACCTCATTAATTGAAAGGTTTAAGAAAAATCATTTATTTTTGGGTACAATTAAAGAAAGATCTTCTGTTGGGTATGAAAAATATAGAAATCAGGGTAATTCTAATGAGACGAAGATGTGCGTAACAGGGTTTGATATGAAATTTAATGTACGTTTCATTTTGTTTCGAGAACAATGATATTTGTGACTGAATGAGGGAGTGAGAGAAGAGAAGATCTGTAATTTGGCAAGTGAGGTGTTTCCTACAGGATGCTGTTCAAGCTACAAAAATGATAGTGTTTAATTTAACATAAGAGAAATTATAAGGGCCAGTAGGATAATTTGTACAAAATTATTAAATTTAGTTTTTGTTTGGCATATATTAAAAAAGTGTATTTTTTTACATATATATACTTATTTGTGTCATATTAATTAATATTTTATTTATTTATTTATTTTTATTTTTTTACATATTTTTTTATAAAAATTAAAAGGATAATTATTTAGAACATTTCAAATTATTCTTTAACGAGGTCCATGATATATTTTGGAGAATAAAAATAATGACAATACAGCTTCAGGGTCATTGAAAAGACAACGTTAAAAAACCAAAAAAACAAAAACTAGTTAGCTGCTAGCTAGTTAGAGGTTACACTGGCAATTAATAAGTCATGTAACCCAAATACACCTTTACAAAACACAATTTTTATAATTTTTAAAATAATTTAAATCATTTATGTTATTGTCATACAAAATTTTAAAAAAAAAATTAAATATATTATTAAATACGAAAAATAAAAAAAAAAAATACGAAAATTCAATATATATTCATATTTTTCTTACATTTGTTATATTTTTTTTAAATTTCTTCACAAATTTTATACGTTTTAAGTACACCTAGATTATATGTATCTAAAAAATAAAAAAAAAAATTTTTATATTTTTGTAAAAAAAAATTAAAATGCCCACTTTTAACTCTTGGTCTCAAAATAATCCATAGTCCTTGTTTGATTTGTTTTTTAGAAAAAAAAAATTAAGAAAAATTTTCTACAAACAAATTTTTAAGAGTAATCAAACGAAATAAATTTTTCAAAAAAAATCTCAAAATTTTGTTTGATTACCTACTTTTTAAAATCACTCTCTTTCTCATACACACCAAATCAATCACTTTTTTTTAAAACTCATTCTTCAAAACAATTTTTTAAAATTATTTTTCAAAAAAGATAAATCAAATAAATTTTTATATTTTTTATTTTAAAAATTACTTTACAAACACAAACCAAACACAGCCCTTTTCTCTCCTTGCTTAAAGTGAAGAGGACGTGTCAAGAACAAGGACATTCATCATGATGCAACAGCGATTGCTGAGATAGAGAGCCACCACCGAACTTTTCTTTTTGCATTAAATAATCACACAAAAAGACAGATCTCTCTTCTCTACTCGCTTCACCAATAGGCTACTTTGGTGTCGTTTGCTGAGTGAGGTGGTTTTTTGATTTTTTAATAATTTTAGTTTAGGATTAAAAAATTTAATTTGAGAATAATTTTTTAATTTTTTAATTTTTTGGTGAGGTGTCATGTTAAATGACCAAACTGTCCTTCAAGTAATTTACCCATTTCAACTCCTTGCCGTTGATGCTCCACGCCAGCGTCATTTTGCCGTTTTTTATTTTTTTTTTCTTTATTTATTTATTTATTTTTTTTGTATCAGGCGTCTTTTTATCATTTTTTTTTAATTTATGTTTTTGTATAAGGCGTTTTTTGATGGTTTTATTTCTTTTTAAATTTATGTTTTTGACTTTTTTTTTGGGTTTTGTATACATTATTTTATTCTTTTTTTAATCTACGTTTTTATCATTTTTATTTTTATTGGTATACATTAATTTGTTTTTATTTTTAAAAAATAGATTTTCATGTGTTTAATTTATTTTTAAATTACGTGGCAAATGCTAAATTATGTTTTTATTTTTTTATTTCTTATTTTTGTGGGTAAGGCATATTTTTCTGGTTCTTTGTTTTTAATTTACGTTTTTGTCATTTCTTTTTTATTTCTATACATTAATTTGTTTTGATTTTTCAAAAATGAGTTTTCTTGTGTTTCATTTTTTTTTTAAATTATGTGGCAAATGGTAATTTCTGTTTTTAGTTTTATTTTTATTTTTTTTGTTGGATGAGGCTTATTTTTGTGGTTCTGTTTTTTTTATATTATTATTTACGCTTTTGTCAATTTCTTTTTATTTGTATACATTAATTTCTTTTTAGTTTTCAAAATTGGTTTTTCATGTGTTTTTTTTATTTTTAAATTATGTGGAAACTGCTAATTTATGTTTTTTTTTTTATTTGTTTGTTTTTTTTTGGACAAATGTTTTCTCATGTAATTTATTTAAAATTACATGGCAAATGCTAATTTCTGTTTTTATTTTTTTATTTTTTGGATGAGGGGTATTTTTGTGGTTCTTTTTTTTTTTAATTTTCGTTTTTGACTTAATTTATTTTTATTTGTATACATTTATTTGTTTTTATTTTTCAAAAATGGTTTTTCATGTGTTTTATTTATTTTTAAATTACGTGAAAAATGTTAATTTCTGTTTTTATTTTTTTATTTTTTGGATGAAGCGTATTTTTGTGGTTCTTTTTTTTTAATTTACGTTTTTGTCATTTTTATTTTTATTTGTATTTGTATACATTAATTTTTTTTATTTTTGAAAAATAATTTTTCATGTGTTTTATTTATTTTTAAATTACATCGCAAATGCTAATTTGTGTTTTTAATTTTTTTTTTTTTCAACTTTCTTTGTTTTTTCTAGGAAATGGTGTTTTTTGGAAAAATGTTTTTTTTTTTTACTTTGTGTGTGCTGAGGCAAAGCGCCTCTTTCATGTGGGGCTAGTTTCGTAAATTTACCTTAGCATTGGTTGGTGGCAAACACCTGACAAACTTTTGTCTTCATTTAGCTAATTTAACCTTTTTTTTGTCTGGCAGTGACTAAAATAGTCCAAACTTCTCTTGCCAAACAGCACCTAAATGCCAATTGCCACTGTCACCTCTACCTTCAAAACTATGTTAGCTTCCTATAAAGTAAGAGGTTGTTGGAGATATTTTAAATAAGTATATTTTTTGATTTTTTATAAAATGTGATTTAAATTTAAAATAATATGATAGAGTGATAATGTAGTTGAAATAAGATGATCTGACTTAAATAAAATAATAACTTTTTAATTTTTTTAAAGGATGTAAAATTTAACCTACGTCATCCGTATTAAACAGAGCATGTATATCTCCTAATCACCTTGAAATCTACATTTTGTTGGGTAACAAAATTACATTATATAATCTAATAATATATAGTTTATACCAATAATGCTACATATGAAGGGAAAAAAAATTTTTTGTCATGGATTCATGCCACTTGAACTATAATCCTAATTTATGAAAATTTAATGAATAATATTAAGGATTATGAAAAAAATATTATGAAATGTTTTATGAAGATTTTTCATCCATTGATTAATGTGTGATATTTTCTTGTATGTGTAATCTAACGGAAGAGAATCTTTCATGATTATTTTTATGATATTTTTTTCATGATATGTAGCATTATTTATTACGTAAACCATCTTTTGTCCTTTTAAACTATATGTTAGGGGAGATTTGTGTATTGGATTGTCTTTTTTTAAAATTAATTTATATTTGATTTATATATATTTTTTTAAAAAAAATCAAGAACACAGTTACTGGTTACATAATCAAACACAACTTTTGCACGAGGTGAATTTACACCCATCTGAAACAGTTGTGCTCAATTCTATAATTCGATTATGTTCAAGTAATTCACCAAATTCGTCCCTAATTTTCAAGGGTGCTAAATGCAAAACATATGGAAGAAGAAGAATACAAATGGTAGTACTTAACAAGATGATTTGCAATATTTAAGTCATCCCTTTGGATCAACAACAGCTTAGTAACACCAAACATGAACATTATATATATTTGCTAGTTTTGGTAGTTGAGGTTACAACATCATCTCAGGAAGGCCATGGTTAACCTCGGCCTAGCCGAGATGACCTCGGCACAACGACCAAGACACGTGGCACCTCGGCTGACACGTCGGCGTCACCTTGCCACGTGTTGGTACTCAGAAAATATATCCCCACTACCATACACATGAACTAGAAAATTACTAACCAATAACTTCTCTCAAACATAAACACAAACAACAAATGAGAGATCTCTAACTAAGTTTACAATACCTTAGCCAGATTTACGACCAACCATAGCCATCAAAGCTTTCTTCATGATCATAACTGAATATCCACCACTTCGAAGCCCATCGCCACTGACTTCTCTACCAATACCAAAACAAAGAGTTGAATTAGGCGATCCGATGGACACTTCTTCCTCATCTTCCCTCTCATCAAATGACATTGAACCCGCACTTGAAAACTGGCTTCTTCGCCCATGGAATTTATTGGAGGGTGTCACTGGAACAGACAACGAGGAATGCGATGACGCCGACCACGACAACGATGACAAAGATGGTGAAGAAGATGGCGGTGGCGATCGCGTGGAGGGTTTTTTGAGATTGATCCTCAAAAATAAAGTGTTTAAAAGTTTGGATCTTGAGTGTTTCTTTGTGTGTTGTTTAGGGTTTTGGGAGTAGTAGGAGGGTGGAGGAGTGAGAGGAGGGAGAGAAGTGTCAGAAAGTGCATGTTTAGGAGTACCAGGCTGAGACTCCCACACGAATGGGACTGAACCAGAGACACCACCATAGTAGACTCTAAAAGAAGGGCTAGCCATGTTGGAGCTTTTTTCCTTGGATAGAAGCCTGGAAAAGAACTTATCATCCTGCTTTATTTGGAGGGACTTTTGGGGAAGTTCTGGGCTATTAGCAGCGAACATCTTGATGACTTGTTGAGGATTGGTTTAATGAGAGAAGATTGCGAAGAAGAGAGATAGCAATGGAGAGATTTAGGAGGGGAAAAATAATATATATATATATATATACATACAAGGACAACATAGGTGAATTGATTATTTCACATTAAGATTTGTGTCAAGATGGTATCCCCTAGGTTTTAATGACAGTGGCCAATAAATATAGATTAATATCTATGCCATTTTGACCATTTATTGTACTTATTAACGATTTGGGCAAATCTGAGTTTATTTACTCATACATATATTACAGTATGTTTATCCTTCTATTATCTACTTAATGAAATTCACAAAAAAAATTAAGAGTATATATTTAAATTTGGTGTACTATGAGATACACTTAAAATGAATCTGAATCATACATTTCTAATTATGAACATTTTTTTTATTTTTTTTTGGGAAACAAAGCATTGTTATTGTAGATCAATATAGTATGATTGATGTTATTGGCACTTAGGTCTCGTTTGACAAATGATTGTTTTAGTCTAAAAATTAAAAAATTACTAAAAAAATCAAAAGGCCAACAATTTATATCAAAAAGTCAAAGATTCTCTTTTCTCTGTATTTTTTGCACATCTTTTCGTAAAAAATCAAAAAATTATCACAAACATACTAGTTTTTTTTATCTCATATTTTAGCTAAAAAAATTAAAAAATTACTAAAATAACTTATTCCCAAACGAGGCCTTAGTTCCTTCAAATGTGGTACTAGGGTAGAGATCAAATGGTGTGATGATACATCAAGCATGCTACATTTTGGCTTAGAAAAGGAGTAAAATTTAATTTGGTCCAAGTTTTCACATACTAAGGCCTCGTTTGGCAAGTGATTTTTTAAGTCAAAAAGTCACTTAAAAAATTAAAAAGTCAATAATTCATACCAAAAAGTCAAAGATTCTCTTTTCTCTTTATTTTTAACACATCTTTTCGTAAAAATCTAAAAATTTATCTCAAACATACTAATTTTTTTAACGACAATGCTACGTAGGTCAAATTTTGTGGCTCAAAAGTAGCTCAAATGGCCAAAACGACGTCGTTTTGAGTACAGAACAACATAAAAATGGCCAAAACGACGTCGTTTTGGTCATTTGTGGCACTTTTGAACCACAAAATTTGAGTTACAAGACATTTTCCTTTTTTTAACATCCCATTTTAACCATAAAACTAAAAAAAACTTGTTCCCAAACAGGTCCTAAGCACCTTCTAACCAGGTATACAATAAAGATTGAGAGCTCGAAAAATCCAAGGCTTGATTGGCCTGAAATTGAAAACGACTTCGTTTTCAAAAAAAAAAAATTTTCCTTTCTTTTACCGACAATATTACGTAGCTCAAATTTTGTGGCTCAAAAGTGACTCAAATAGTCAAAACGACGTCGTTTTGAGTACAGAACAACATAAAAATGGCACCATTTGAGCCACAAAATTTGAACTACAAGACATTTTCTTTCTTTTACTCTCTTTCTCTGTGTTCTTTGTTGTTTCTATCTTTAGAAAGAAGAAGACACAGAGCTTCACTCTCTCTCATTCTTCGTTTGGAATCTTTATGACCAAAATCAACACATAGCTTCATCTTCCTCAAGATCACCATCACCATCACAGACAAACAACAAACAACATCACAAATCCAAGATCACCATCACCTCAAGATACAAAATCAATTCCTCAAGATCACCATCACAGATCCAAAATCCATCACAGATCCAAAATCACCATCTCTCTCTCTCTCTGTCACTCTCTCTCTTTTTTTGGGTCTTCATTACAGAGAAATGGTTTTTTTTTTTGGTTCATAAAGTTCTGCAAGTGGTTTTTTTTGTGAGATTTTTTTGAGTTTTTGATTTAGATTTAGATTTAGATTTAGATTTTCATGTGGGTTTGTTGTTGGGTTTGTTGATTTAGATTTTAATTTTGATTTTCATGTGAGTTTGTTGATTTGTCTGTTGTTGGGTTTATTATTATTTTTTTTTTTTTGAGTTTTTGTTTTTGATTTTGATTCCTCTGTTTCTGGGTTTGTAGAGCACTGTTGCTGGGTTTGTTATTTTTTTTCTTTTTTTCTTTTTTGTTTTTGTTTCAGAGGAAGACTGAGATTCTAGCAAATGATCATTTTATTCTAGCAAACATATTGATCATTTTCAGAAAAACCAGAATAAAGCACACATATTGATCATTTGGTGAATATTCTAGCGAACATATTGATCATTTTCTTCTTCTCCTCTGAAACACATTCTCGTAATGAATCAACAAGTTCTTTTGGATCTTCTTTAGAAAAACAAGAAAAAAAAAAAAAACCAAACGCACACTCTCAGAGGATAAAAAACAACATTCGGACCACTCTCGAGCTACAACATTCGAGCTACGAATTGGAATTGCTAGATATAATAGAAGGAAGATAGAATTTGAAAAGATAATCTTGATGTACTATATAATATATTATCTTTCTGGTGAAGGGGTTACCTCACATGCATGCATCTTCCAGGAATGTACATCATTGATGATGTACTAACTAGGACTTACTACAATTTAGTGATTTGCTTGATCTGTACCTTTGCTTGATCTGTACCTTTTTACATATAGAAAATTCACAAGTTAAAAATATTTTAATAATTCAAGTTATGTGCTACGTTGTCCCTTGAGGCCACATTAGAGTTTATGCTAATAATAATGGAAAAAATAAAATAAAGGTACAGATATAGTAAGGAAGATGGAGGGATATTAATATGGTCCTCGTGGGTGGGTATGAGGGAATAAATAAATGATTTGAAAAGATGAACTCATATTCAATTGTGATTGTTTGATAACATGAATTCAGCCGTTTTTGTGATCAAATTAGTTTTTTATAAGTTGTTTATTTTTTATTGTTCATTTTTGTTTTATAAAATTGATTTGATCACATAGTTATAGATATTCGATCAACGTGATTTTTTACAGGTACATAGTACTTGACGAATTATACATATTAAACGGTTCGAATTATCAAAACGGAACACGTGATAAGTTTTCACAAACCAAACAATACCTTCTAATTTGTCAATCCGTCTGTAATTAAGGGGTGTTTTGGGGAGCAACTAAAAAATTAATTTTTAACTTTTTACTCATTTCAAATTACATTATCTCTCATATTTTTATTTATAAAAAGACAAAATAAATTTTAAAAAATTAAAAAATTAATTTTTCAAAACACTACTAAATTGGAGAGAACTCATTCCCAATAACTTTTATGTTTATTTACCATTTGGAAATGATTCTCCTGCCATGAGACAAACTTTTCTCTATAATCATAACAGCCATCGTGCACTGACCCACCGCCACTCTATGTGGAGGAGAGAAATAGAAAAGTGATTGTTTGATTTGTGTTTGTAAAGTAATTTTTTAAATAAAAAGTATGAAAATTTGATTGGTTTATTTTTTTTTAAAAATGGTTTTGAAAAATTATTTTAGAGAGAGTTTTAAAAAAAGTGATTGATTTGATGTGTATGAGAGAGAGAGAGAGAGAGAGAGAGAGTGATTTTGAAAAGTAGGTATTTAAACAAAATTTTGAAATTTTTTTTTCAAAAAATTGTTTGGTTTTATTACTCTTGAAAATTTATTTGTAGAGAATTTTTTCCAAATTTTTTTTTGAAAAACAAACGAAACAAGCCCAACATTTTTTTAATTTCTTTTCTTGAGTAAGTTATACTAACCCTTTAAGAGATTTCAAAAAAAATCTCGATAATTTTGATATTATTATATTGGGTCCAGCTTGTCTCAAGTTGAGATCAAGACTGGACCCGTCCAATCCGGCCCATTGGGTTTATTTTTTGGACCCGTTTTGATAATTTGAACCGCTCAATGTGTAGAACTCGTTGAGTACTACATGCCTGTAAAAAATCACGTTGATCGGATATCAATAACTATGTGATCAAATCAATTTTGTATAAAAAAATAGACGGTGAAATAATTAACGGTTGATAAAAAACTGTTTTGTTCACATAGCTATTGATATCCGATTAATGTGATTTTTTACAGGCATATAGTCCTCGACGAATTTTACATATTGAACAATTTATATTATCAAAACGAGACCTATAATAAATCCTCACAAATTTATCTACACGATCCAATTCGATCTTGAACTGGACCAAAATCACTGCTAAAAAAACAAGTTATTGGACAGTTGGTCATTTTAATCATTTTAAAAGAGTCTAAAATATCTCTCTCTCTCTCTCTCTCTCTCTCTCTCACACTCAGTCACTTTCTCTATTTTATTTTTTATTTTTTATTTTAGTGTTAATTGCAGTTGCCAGTCAGTCTTTAGCTAGGAAAGGGCTAAAAAATGCTCTGTTCACAGTCCTCTCATTCATTCTTCCTCAAACAACTTCTTCTTCTTCTTCTTCTTCTTCTGTACTTGAAACCCTCTTGTTTCCTTCTTCATCATCTTCCTCCTCCTCTTCCTTCCCCCAATTTCATCCAACTCCTCAAATTCACTCTAAGTTCAGCAATTTCTCTATCATATCATATTCCACCAAAAACCTGGTTCCCAACTTCACTGATTTTCTCTATTTCACTCTATTTTACTCATTTTACAAAGATTTAATCTTTCCACAATGAATCTTACAGGAAAATCTTTCTGGGTTTCTCTGTTCTTTCTTCTCCAATCACACTTACTCTGTTTTTCATACCCTACTCCATTGAACTGTTCAGACACAACTCGCTTATGCACATCGTTTTTAGCCTTCAAGCCCAATTCAAACGAAACCCTAGCGGTGATTCAGAGCATGTTCGACGTGTTGCCCGAAGACTTGACATTCGAAGGCAACGGCCGAGACTATGTGTTTATTCGGAAGAACTGTTCTTGTTTTCGGAGTATTAAGAAGTACTTGACTAACACTACATACACTGTGAGAGAAAATAGTGGATCTGTGCATGATGTGGTGGTTCAAGCCTATGATGGGTTGGCTTTTTTCCCCAATAATACGAAGGCGGCGCGTGCTCGGGCGGTGGTGCCTCTGCGGTTGTTCTGTGGGTGCTCCAGTGGGTTGTGGAATTACTTGATGAGTTATGTGATGAAAGATGGGGATAGTATCGACTCCTTGGCGAGTCGGTTTGGGGTTAGTATGGGTAGTATTGAGACTTTGAATGGGATTGATAATCCTGATAATGTCTCTGTTGGTGCACTTTATTATGTGCCATTGAATTCAGGTATGGGTGTTTGTTCTTTTGGATTTTTTATTGGTTTTTAAATTATATTTGGTTAGTTGATTCAGATGTGATTGTTGGTGATGTGAATGGAGTTTGATTTTGAGTTGGTGAAGTAGTTTATTGGAATGTGATTGTAGGAAAGGCATGTAATGGCGAGCCGAGGCAACTTTGGTGATGACGGACACGTGGCCTTTGGCACTGAGTCAGGGTTTCCTAAATTCCCCCAAAATAAAATATTTAGGTGGCGACTCTGTATCTGGCAAAGCAGTCCATGTTTGGCACTTCTTTCAAAAAATCTGTTTTCTCAAAACGATTTGCCGGATTTGGACTCTTTGGTTCAGATTAAGAACCGTGACACAAATCGAGTCCGAACTGTAGCGAGGGCCCCACGCGGGCGCGTCTACAATTTCCAGCTCACATTCTTTTGCATATGTTTAATGCTATATATCATATATATGAATCCCTTTTGTTTGTGATTGGAATCATCTGTCAAACATTGATCGCATCATCTGACTTCAATGATATGAGATTCAAAGCTTTGCAACAATAACATATTGAATCACAAGAGTAGTGACAAAGCTAGGCTGAGAACTAGAAACATTCTCAACCAGCATATGTGAACCTATTTAAGTTAGTTCCTTGGTTTCCTCAGGTATAGCTGCACTTACTCCAGGACAGGCTTGAATTAAGTGAACTGAGGAGCCAGAGTAGAGGAAACAATCACTTAATGAATAGCTCAATGCCAAGGCATTAACTGGTAGGAGTGATATTAATTATAGTTTTAAACACACTAAAGACAATGTAGTAGTCATTTCATCTAGAGAGGTTTAAGAGACATGATAGTGATGAGTGATAAAGAAAGAAATAAATATTTTTGTCATGAGAATTCACTGGTGAAGGACTTGGACTAGTACAGTACAAACTCTGAAAGCTAAGAAATTTATTAAAAAAAACATAGTTGGAAACCATTTCTTCCAAATATATATAATTATGTATAAAATATAATTTGAGAGAGTGTAGGACACAATTAACTTCATTTGAAGGGTTATTTGACCCAAAATAAATAAATAAATAATCATCTAGCTAGCATGTGAACGAATTGTCCTGCATGCAACTTTGTCTTGATTTGTATTATTATATGGTGAAGTTTGGCCTTCAATTCAAACAAGTTTTCTTTATAATTCCTTTTGGTTTTCAACTATGCTAGACCCACCAAGAATCTTTTTTCTTCGTTTTATTTTTATTTTTATTTTGGATAAATTATACTGATTTTTCTTAAGATTTGAAAGGAAAAAAAATACAAGCCTCACAATTTTAATATAATTAAATTGATTTTTCTTTTAGTAAGGTTAAAAAGACCAAAATTAATACAGATGATATAAAGACACAAAATATACAAGGTAAAATATATAATTCAATATAAAAGAAATTATAATATTATTTTTTTTATTCATATGACTAACTAAATTTTGATAACAATGGAGCTGTGTTATTTGGATTTAAACTTTAAGGGAGCCTAGTATAATTATGCTAAACTTATGGAATTATTGCATTCTTTTTTAAAAGAGATATTAGTGTAATTTACTTTTTTAGTTTTTCCTCTCACTTTGTGCACATGTATAAAACAAATAGGGAAAATTGCATTTCAGTGGAATTTGGGGGAAATAATTGCATATTAGTAAAAAACTTTGCAACATTAAAAAATAAATCTATGCTTTTCCATCAAATCGAAATTATTTTATGAAATTTTCACTTAAATGCAATTTTTCCAAACAAATATTGAGTGTACTGATCAATAGCAACGAGTAATTTTGAACTTTGTTGATTTGGCAGTGACAGTTGTAGTGTAAGACAAAGTCAGATGGATAAAAGTTGGATAAATCAGCATAGGTTGCACCCAGAATACATACAAGGGGTTAAGGAATTTATTAAATTTGCATGCGAAAATAAGCTGTTATTGAATGAAGTCACATGCCCATGTAAACAGTGTCGTAATGTCAAATTGATGGAGAAAGGCTTGTTAGGGGAACATTTAATATCAACGGGTTTCTTCCAAGTTACACCAGTTGGATTTTTCATGGGGAAAATTTGTCATCGCCTATGCCACACAATGTGAATGTCGGGCAAACTGATTCGAACGATGGTGATGAAACTTATGAAATGCTATTCGAAGGATTTGGACTTCCTCCACCAAGCTTTGTTCATGAGGTAGCAAGTTCTGGTATTAAACAAGGTCCGGATGAGAAAATCGAAAAATTCTTCAATTTATTGAAAGAGGTCGAACGAGAGTTGTATCTTGAGTGTCATAAGTTTTCAACGCTCTCATTTATTGTTCGGTTATTGCACATCAAGTGCCTTAGTGGATGGAGTGACAAGTCTTTCACGATGTTACTCGAGCTTTTGAAGGATTCGTTCCTAAAGGGTGAAACTTTGCCAAAGTCATTTTATGCAACTAGGAAACTCCTCAGGGACTTGGGCCTAGATTATCATAAGGTACATGCATGCCCAATGGATTGTTCACTATATTGGAAGGAAACAGCCAGTATGGATGATTGCATAGTGTGTCATATGCCTATATACAAACAGTTTGAGGGGGAGGAGAATGATGTTAAGAAGAAGCAACAAAGAATTCCACAAAAGATTGTTAGATACTTTCCATTGATTCCAAGGCTTCAAAGATTGTTTATGTCATCCAAAACATCTTCTTTAATGAGATGACATGCAGAGGGCCGAATTGATGACGGCAAAATGAGACATCCCATTGACTCTCCAGTTTGGAAAAATTTTCATAATTTGTATCCTAAGTTTGCGAGTGAGCCTCACAATGTCAGACTGGGTTTAGCAGCGGATGGATTCAATCCATTTAAGGCAATGAATGTCTCTCATAGCAGTTGGCCAGTTATTATGATGCCATACAATTTGCCACCATGGTTGTGCATAAAGCAGCCTCATATGATGATGACATTGCTCATCGATGGTCCTTCTTCACCTGGAAATAACATTGACGTCTACTTACGCCTTGTAGTGGATGAATTGAAAGAATTATGGGAAAACGGTGTTGACACGTATGATACGGAAACTAATCAGATGTTCCGAATGCATGTTGTTTTATTATGGACTATAAATGATTTTCCTGCCTATGCAATTTTGTCTGGATGGAGCATGAAAGGTGTTTTAGCTTGTCCTTGTTGTAACACACATACTCGGTCTCGATATTTGAAGAACGGAAGGAAATTATGTTACATGGGGCATCGTCGCTGGTTGAATGGGGGTCACAAATTTCGGAAAGCTAGTGCGTCTTTTGATGGCACTCGTGAATTTGAACCATGTCCAACTCGGTTATCAGGGGCTAATGTGCTACAACAACTAGGCCGTAAGTTCAAATTGAATTCTAAGCGTCAACAATCTAGCAAATGGAATAGAAAGGGAAAAGAAAAGGAGGAAAATGAGGACTCAGGTCATAATTGGAAGAAGAAGAGTATTTTCTTTGAGCTGTCATATTGGGAGCATAATTTGATTCGCCACAATCTTGATGTGATGCACATTGAAAAGAACGTATGTGATAATGTATTATGGACAATATTAAATGTTGATGGGAAAGGGAAGGACAATTTAAATACTCATCGAGATTTGCAAGATATGGGAATTCGAAAGGCACTACATCCTCAGAAAAGGGTTGGGAACAAGTATTATTTGCCTCCTGCATGTTTTGCCATGAACAATAGAGAGAAAAGTCTATTCTGCACACTTCTAAAGAATATCAAAGTTACCCAGATGATATATAATGCATCCAATATCTCTCGTCGGAGTTAACCTCAACAGCGTTAGCATATTTGG